GTTAAAAAAATTCAAGTTTTTGTATTGAATTTTTTGTTTAAAATTTCTTTTTCCCTTTTCAGTAGTAGTAGGGGAGCACACGATGCTAAATCGGGATTTACTCGAGCGTCATTTTAACCTATTTGAAGATTATATGATGGGAAGAAAAAAGGGCCATGCGATTTTTTTTCCTTCCTGCGGTGGATGGAGGATCTACAGGCTTCCAAAAACGTAAAAAAAAAAAACAGTTACATGTTTTTACTCGAGCGCGTCAGATATTGATAGTGAATAAATCAAACGTGTTTCTGATGACGGAAATATGCTAATCTGCCAGTTTGCATGGTAAGGTTGGGCGTACGGAAGGGTCAAAAATGGGTGATAAAAAAAATTGCTCGAGCGCGTCCGATATTCCGATATTCACAAGGCCCATTGAAGCCCGAGTGAACCTCCCATTCAATAGTCTGACGATTCAGATCAGATGTGACGCAAGCTCCTGACGTCTTCTTGCAATAAAAATCGCCATTTGGATTTACTCAGGCGCGTCAGATTTTCATACAGAAGGTTCATCTCGATGCCCTAATCGGCCTGTTGGTTTAAAATAATAATTTCGTTTCTGAGATGCACAGTCAACCAAACATATATATTGTAAACACTTAATACTTATTATTTTATCCGTGCAACTATTTTCATACAGCAAGTCCGGTTTGACTTGGTCGTCAATTTCTTCCACATTTTCCCATCTGTAACAATAAGTAATTTACAATATTTTTTTTACATATTAAGTGAAAAGTTTTTTTACAAGAATTTGATCCACAAAACACACAAAAACCATTTCCACTCATAGTGAATCACAAAATGTATACCTTGTTTATACCTACGCGAGAACCGCATTAAGAAAACCCCAATTTGACTTAACACATATTTCTTTCAAGCATCTATACTTGTGTCTTTACAGCACACTCTCTGAAACCGTATTCAAAAGTATAAAAAATTTGTTGTTTTATTTCGATATTTCAAACAATAGTTCAAATTTATTTTAATAATAATTCAAATTCAAAACGGGCTGTATAAAAAAAAAACAGCCTATTTTCACTTTGCGTCGAATGAGTGATGTGTTTATACCTGTTTTCTAACCGATTTGAAATCAAATTCTAGTCAATACACTTTTGAAATTCAGAGCATATTGAAATTTGGTTTATAAATCCGCTTTGAATCACAGCGAACTGGGTCAAAGCGCTTTATGTGTCGGTATAAACGATGTATTAGTTAGTAAAATTTCAAAGGTTGTATTTCATGTAACACCACGAGTGCTTTGATAGCCCATAATTGCGTAATACTCTTATAACCCAGTGAGAAAATGTAATGTATAGTAATCGAAAAAATAATCGGTAAAACAACCCTTTCCACATTCGAAAATGCATTTTTTTGCCCCAGGGCGATGTCCTAAGAAAAGTTGGGCATTCAATTTTACATTACCTAGTATTGAGAAATTAATGTGTTTTAATATGAAATTTTTGAATCTTTTTGAATACGTTAGAATGCTGATTCTATATTAAACAGTAATTGTATATAAAACTTATCAGAAATACATTCGATTATTTATCACGCATGGAATACATTACCGCTTTTCCACTGGGAAGATACTATATAAAGAGTGAGCAAGAAGGGAGCGGAGTTTAATATTTTTTAATGTATAAGTAAACTTAAGGTTGCCGTATTCAAAATTATCTGAAAAATGCTTGTTTTTCTTACATACAAATTCTTATGTCTAGTGAGTTTGCCTAAAAAATTAGTAAGATTTACATACATAGGTTAAAAAAGCAATTTTTAAAAAGTTACATCATGTCCTACTATATTTTCTTAATATAACGATTATTTCAATCCTAATTCAAACTATATTGAAACTGGGATTAACTTAATCGTAATCGTAGATGCACTTTATTACACGTGTAATTTCATCGCCCAGCTAAAATTTAGATAAAGGTTTTGATTCGCAAATGCACATACACACTAATGTACATAAATATAAAATGACAAATTTCGTAGAAAAATTTGTAGTAGGTTTGAAAAACAGCAAGTGCACATGACAATCTTTGTTGACGGTTTTCATCACCCCGGCTTGTGGAAATCGTCAGATTAGATACTGCGCTCGACAATGTCCAGTTAACTTTTTTTTTTTGCAAGTTTGCAACCATCCTAATCCCTTGCGTCACGCTCAAATCGTCAGATTATTGAAATGCACACCTTTCAGCATGTAATTACCCCACTATTTCTTAATCTGACGCGCTCGAGTAAATCCACCTATCAATTTTTTTTTACTATTCTGATCAGCTCTCCTATGCGCGGCTCTACATAGATGGCTTTGATTTGGCAAAGGTACTCAACAGGATGAAGGGTATCCCCCATATGTTAATCTGACGCGCTCGAGTAAATCCCCGAATCCACTCTTGGGCTCTCCTACTATAGGGGTTTTTGTATATTATCTTCTCTGTGCTAATTGATCGTGATAGATACGGAACTGGCTAAGCGACTGGAATACGGCTGTTTGTCAAAACATACGATTTCAAGCTCGCGTAAATGTACATTTGCTAAATGCGATAGAATGAACGCTCTTCGAAAATATGTTCGAAAGTGCTAAATGTTACATTTAGATTTATCAGGCTCCAGCGTATAAGTATCTGTCCCAAAAGACGACCCACGTTTTACAAATTAAAGATACGAAAAGTAATCCGCAGAAAAATTCATGTCACCAAGCTCGCCTATGACATAAAAACCCTACAACGGTATCTTAAGGCACGTTTCTGTCAGATAGGCCTGTAGCGTAAGTACCTGGTGAACAGCGTCTACTGATATTGCTGCAGATAGAAACAGGATCACCCGCACATATCCAAAAGTCTTTACCGGGATACAATCTTCTAAAGCCAATTACCGATTTCGAGTTTTTAGTATTGAAATGCACAGCTACTTACGAAGAGAGCGCTATTGAAATCTTCTGCAACGGCTATTTAAAGAGCCGCGACGAGCGGAGTCTATCATCGATCTTTTTCTGCGATAGGCATCACATATGAAAACAGTTGAGAAGTTGGAATATCCAGGTAATTATGCAAGTGGGTACAACCCTCATTGGAAAAAATAATACTAAATACAAGTGACGCAAAACAACTGGGGTCCATCTTCAGCATGCACAGACGCAGGCCGACTCCTCATCCACGAATTTCTGACAACTTGGTTGTAGAGTAAGACCCACGTCGAGAGGGCACACCACAAAAACTTCCGGCAGTCTTGGAGACTCCCAAGAATTCAACCCAGGCATACCCAGGAACAATTTCAGAGTGCTTAACATGAAAAAAAAAATGATTCGAATAACAATGCAGGTGGTAGTGCTTCTCAACAATGAAAGCTTAGGCATTATTCAATTCAATTCAATTCAGCGTTTATTGATTCTATGATTACAAACAATCTTACAGACTAGAATTAAATTACTAGGTGAAAAATAAAGAACAACACTAGGAGTACACAGATTCAATTAAACTTCTGTAGGACTGCCTACTGATAGAAAATTCGATATTTAGCTTTTTTGAAATTGTATTAAGTTCAGTAAGAGCCTTCCAAATCGGAGGTTGAGTCCAATAATTAAAAGCTAAAATATAATAGATTTTATAATTCCATTAGAAAATCAGTACCGATTTTTTTTTTGGTATGGGGACTGATGCAGTCTAATGTACATATGATTTCGACTATTCGTAAATGTAGATACATTTTGTTAATGCGAATCTCTGTATACTGTTCGAAAAAGGTTTTCTAAACTACTAGTTATACGTTTGAAGCAAATGGGCGTCTAAAATCTGCCCGTTTGGTTCATGTGGTGTTTTTATACCCAAGCACTTATAATTCTTTCCAGTTACAGCAATTAATTAATGAAATTTTTGTCTCGTGGGTATGCTAAATTTAACTGTTGAATATCGATGCAAGATTAGTGCCGAAAAAAAAAGAGAATTTTTTGCTGTTCATCTGCTCAGGCAATCCACATTTGGGAAACAAAAAATGCCTTCAAGTGAACATGTAGTTATGTATAGTACGTACATATATCAATGTCAATATAAGTCCGACAAAATTATTGGCAAGATTTTTTATCTTCTAATAAAGGCTCTTCGTAAAAATTGTGGCTCTCTATTTCCTTAAAAAAAAAAAAAAAAAAAAACGAAAAATACACTGAATAACAGACATATGGCAGAGAAAATCCAGTAAGCTCACAAACATATCTATTGATGCGTGCATAAACGCTGAAACTAAGC